TAACTGAAGAGAAAAAAGAGCTGTCTTAATTATCCTGATTGGGAATTGTAGGACTATCAGTCATTAGTTCTAGAAAAATTTTTGCTCTTAATTTCTTCAAATATTCTGCCCATTTTCTCCTCTGTTCCTAGAATTTGTGTTGAATCTTAGATCTAACTTGTGTTAGACTTTATTGTATCCCAAATGCCTTTGAACTATAGTGTTTCCCATCCTTTAGTTTCCACCATATTTTTGGAAGATTTCTTCTAAGCTTGCTTCCAGCTCACTTAATTCTCTTTCTAGCTGTGTTTAGTCTGCTGTTAATCCTACCTATTTTTTTCTAGAAGTTCTATTTATTTCTTTGCCAAAGTAGCTATATCACCTTTAATAGATGACTGATCCTTATAGATAACGGATGCAGGCATTGTATTTTCAAACACAGTTAACATGGTTGTTTTTGTCTATGTTTATAGTTATACATTTGTAGCCTTTTTGACAATATTTAAATCTTTATAGACTGGTTTCTATTGCGTTCTTTTCTGTTGTCCCTATTGCTCTTGAAAATTACTTTAATGAATTATTTCAGGTCTAGGATGAAAGTGCCTTTCGCTTATATTTGGATATGCTGTCTGAGACCACTTCAAGCTCCTAGTTTGGGGTTTTGAAGGCAACACTGATGAGATGAATTTGGGCTTTTATCCAGGTTAACTGGTTTATTATTCCTGAGAATTTAGCACTTTGGGGTTACTGCTTAATTGAGGAGGGTTGTCATATAGACTTCTCAACTTGAAAAGGTCCAGAGCTTTTGATTTCACCCTACAATAGCTTAAATTTGTGGTCAGCACTTGCCCTCATGCCAAAAGGGATTTCCTTCTACTTATCTTTTTGCTTCCTCTTTTGCCTTTTGTTTGGTTAGGAATTCTTTACTATCTTATTCGTATTTTTTTTTTTTTTTTTGCTTTTAGGATTTTAACAAATACTGTTTTTCTTTTTCTTTTTTTAAAAAATATTGTTGGGGTGGGGTAAGAGGTCAACCAAAGGACTTGTATGAATGGACACAAGACACTGGAGTGGGGCGTGGAGTGAGGGCATGTGCGGAGGGAGGGAAGTAGGGGGGGAGGTCAATGGGGGAAAAAAGCAGACATGTACTACTATTTGTAATCTTTAAACAATAAAGATCTTGGTTAGGATTGTGTTTCATTCACAATTTTTAATGGGGCCCTTTAGTTTAAATACTTATTAAGAAACATTTGGATATCCTTTTTGATACTGATTTCAGAGAGGAAGGGAGAGGGATCGAGAGATTGAAAAATCAATAATGAGAATCGCCTTAACCGTTTTGGCTCAGTGGATAGAGCGTTGGCCTGCGGACTGAGGGGACCTGGGTTCGATTCTTGGTTGCGGGCATATCCCCAGTGGGAGGTGTGCAGGAGGCAGCTGATCAATGCTTCTCTCTCATCGATGTTTCAAACTATCACTCTTCCTTCCTCTTTGTAAAAAATCAATAAAATATATTAAAAAAATAATGAGAATCATTGATCGGCTGCCCCCTGCACACCCCCCTACTGGGGATCAAGCCTGGTCAAGCCTGAAACCCAGGCATGTGCCTTTGACCAGAATCAACCTGGGACCCTTCAGTCCCCAGGCTGGTGCTCTGTCCACTGAACCAAACCAGCCAGGGCAACAAATACTGTTTTTCTTTGGTAGAATTGATCTGCATGATCTAACTGCTCACTACCAGGAATGGAAATTCTTCAGTTTTCTTAGAAAGCATTGTCATGTAGGATTAATAAAATTCTCATTGACTTTAATTATTGGGTGCAGTAAAATAATTAATGTAGGTGTTAACCTAAACTTGTGTTTCTCAGTGTGATCTGACACTTTAAATCTTAAGATAGCCTACTTCAGAAGCTATGTTTCTTGTTTAGAATGTGGATTTTTGGGTCTGCTTCATCAGACTTGATGATTCAGAATCTCTGAATCTCTCTTTTTTTAAATAAACTATTGCCCTAGCTCAGTAGTTCTCAACCTTCTGGCCCTTTAAATACAGTTCCTCATGTTGTGACCCAACCGTAAAATTATTTTCGTTGCTACTTCATAACTGCAATGTTGCTACTGTTATGAATCGTAATGTAAACATCTGATATGCAGGATGGTCTTAGGCGACCCCTGTGAAAGGGTCGTTCGATCGCCAAAGGGGTCGTGACCCACAGGTTGAGAACCGCTGTCCTATCTGATTTGATTCAGTGGATATAGCATTGGCCTGCAGACTGAAGGGTCCCGGGTTTGATTCCGGTCAAGGGCACATGCCTGGGTTGCGGGCTTGATCCCCAGTAAGGGGCATGCAGGAGGCAGCCGATCAATGATTCTCTCTCTTCATTGATGTTTCTATCTATCTCTCTCTCTCTTTCCGAAATCAATAAAATAAAATATTAAAAATAATAAACTATTTGTAATTTTAGATTTACGGAGGAGTTGTAGAGATAGTTCAGAGAATTCCTATATACCCCTTAACCAGTTTCCCCTAATGTTAACATCTTACATTACAGTGGTATATTTATTAGTCATTCTGTACATTTGTCAGAACTAAAAGAATCTGTTTTTTAACTATCGTCCCAACAAATTATTTAAGTCTTTTACATGAATTTGCTTCTTAAAGCCTACTTTAAAAAACAGAAATAATGTTTCTAATAGTGGTCACACACTGTTACCTACCCGGTTTGACTCATTGGGTAGAGCATCAGCCTGCAGACCAAAGGGTCCCAGGTTCAATTCTAGTCAAGGGCAGGTACCTTGGTTGCAGGCTCCTCCCTGGCCCTTTGCCCTAGTCGGGCTCTGGTTGGGGCTCATGCAGGAGGCAACCAACTGATGTGTTTCTCTGACATGGATGTTTCTCTGTTTTCCTCTCCCACTCTCCCTAAAAATCAATGGAAAAATATATACAGGTGAGGATTAACAAAAAAACAAAACAACCCCCAAAAAGTGTGTACAACCAAGAAATTTAATTTATTCAGAATGGACAGATTGGAGAAGGCATTTCTGAAGACATCCTGTTCTGCTTTAATCCTTTTTAATAAAGAATCAAAAAAATTTTGTAGGACTTTGAATACTAAGTGTAATACCACAAATTGGACGCTGAGGGTTAGCAGTGTAGATGTAATGTTAGATCTTGGCTGCTAAAATCAGTACCTCTTAACACTTTAAATAATAAGCATATAAGCATGTTGATATAAGGAATCATACCTTACATCATTTTGTGAATTAAAGACAAAGGTTTTAACTTCTTAAAGATAAAAACTTCATTTTAATGTGGGGTTCTAAGCGTGATTAAAATTTTTTTAATCTGTATTATCAGTGGCATTCAGCCATTTTTCTGCCTTACTATAACACACTTTACCTTAAGTTTTAGTTTTCTAAAAGCAGGGTTTTTTCATTTGTTTTTGGTTAATCCTCACCCGAAGATATTTTACCATTGATTTTTAGAGAGAGTGGAAGAGAGTGGGAAAGACAGAGAAACACATATCGATTGGTTGCCTCCTGCATGAGCCCTGACGAGGGCCCAAGCCGGGGAGGAGTCTCCAACCAAGGTACATGCCCTTGACTGGAATCAAACCCGGGTCAGTAGCTGATGCTCTATCCATTGAGCCAAACAGGCTAGGGCTTAAGTTAATACTAGTCTTAATGAGAAAGAACTTAGGCTGTTTTGATCAGTTCTAACAGTATTCAGGCTAACCAAGAGCATTGTTGACAGTGTTCCAGCAAGCATATCTAGGTTAGGCTAACGGGTGTGGTTGTTTACCAGTGATATGACATGAAGCACATTTGAAGAGACAGGAAGGTTTAGCTGACATTGATTGGGACCCGGACCTTTATTTTTTATTTATTTTTGTAAAATATATTTTATTGATTTTTTTACAGAGAGGAAGGGAGAAGGATAGAGAGTTAGAAACATCAATGAGACAAAAACATCAATCAGCTGGCTACTGCTCACCCCCTACTGGGGATGTGCCCGCAACCAAGGTACATGCCCTTGACCAGAATCGAACCTGGAACTCTTCAGTCCACAGGCCGACGCTCTAGCCACTGAGCCAAACTGGTCAGGGCGGGACCCAGACCTTTAAACTATCCTGTATAATAAAGAGATAATATGCTAATTAGATGAACAGCAAAACGACCTTCTGGACGAAGCCAAGGCTGCAAGGGCCGAGCCCCTTGCATGAATTTTGTGCATCGGGCCTCTGGTCTGTAATAATAAAAGCGTAATATGCTAAATAGACCAGACGTCCAGAAGGGGCTGCAGGCCTCTACTCATTACATAATTTAAAAGGCTGACATTTGATAGAAGGATTCTTAAACTTTTTAAAAAGATTTTGGTGGGATCATAGTGAGTATAGTAGGTGGCAAATTTTGGCTTTTAAACATGAATTTGATAAAAATTAATGCTGTTAAAAATAAAGGGGGTTTGTTCAGTGAGGTACTAAGTAGCCTAAAAATTTATGCAAGAATTGACCATTCCTAGTTGTCACAGGAATTTGAATAAAGATCCTTTGTATTGTTTCTTTTCTGTGATTCTAACATAGACTCTTTAGCAATAGTGCCATTAAAAAGTCCTTACATGATAGATTCTAAATGCCTACTAGTAACTTGCTTATTTTAAGCTGTATCCTCTGAAAAGTTACTTGGGCTACATGAAAGTCTCTGTCCCATGATTTTTCTAAAAATATATTTTTATTGATTTCAGAGAGGAAGGGAGAGGAAGAGATAGAAACATAAATGATGAGATCAACTGCCTCCTTCACGCCCCCTACTGGGGATCAAGCCCGCAATCTGGGCATGTGCCCATGACGGGAATCTAACCTGGGACCCTTCAGTCCACAGGCCAATGCTCTATCCACTGAGCCAAACCAGCTAGGACTTAATTGATGCTTTTTTAATGGGCGTATACATTTCTTTTCGGATAGTTTTCAATGTGGTATTGATTTAAAGGGTTTTGGTTTTAAATAAGTTGTATGCTTTATTATTTTTTTTAACATTGTTGTTTCTCTCCATAGATATTTGGAGTTCTTAACAACATGGCAGACATTGACAAGTAAGTGGCAGATAGTTTGTTTCTTTTTCAGATATTTGTACTGTGATGTATAGTTAACAGCAATACTAGTTATGTAGTAGGAAATATATGGTAATGACATGTTTAGTGCCTACTCTTTATAGAAGTTGCATACCATGTATCCAAGACAAAATGTTGTATATATAATCATTGTCATAAATACAGCAAACCATTCGTCAATGTTTATTCTTAGGAAAGTGCTGAGCACAATAATGAATCATAAATACTTGCAGAGTCCACTTTATCCTATATGTATTTCCCAAAGATTTTTATGCCGAACATTGTAATGTATCATACATGCAAGATAGAAAGTGTTATAAAATGTCTATGTAGAGTTTAAAGAATAATAGGGCACTGTGTGCAAGCTTTTAAAAATAGAACATTACTACTGTTAGAATGTGTGTCCCTTCTCAATTCTATCTTGGCTTTTGTCTAATTTGTTTCTTTGTTGTTTTTCTTTAGAAATTTACCACCTATAAATTCTTATGTTTAATTCTGAAAATCTGAGTAGTGGTCACACACTTAGATATATAAAGAGAAAGGCAGTATTACCACTATGAGTTGAAGGCTTCAAGATAGGAAAATAAAAGGCTATCTGGGTCATGGTCTGGCTTTAACTTTATTGAGGCTTTTTTAACTTTTCAAAGGCTGATTTTGGAGAAGTCATTGGACAAGGTCATGCATCCTGCAAACAGGGTTAGTAATATAGTGTGGATGGGTATCTTGCAGAAATGGTCAGGAAAAATGGGATGTGCTGCAGTATATGCTGCTTGTAATTTTACAGTAGCCTGCCAACTTAGAGAACAGGTTAAAACAATACTTGGGGGTAGGAGTGGCATGATATTATCTACAGCTATTACAGGCAACAGCATGGAGATGGAAAGGCAGGAAAATTTTATCACAAGGGTAACACATTGAAGTACTATACATGTAAGAATCTGACTAATTTTCCCAGGCATGCTGTCTTCAGCATAAAAAGAAGATGGGCAACAGGCATTTTAGTGATCGTGGCTTTCAAAGTATTGTTGCCTCAATCACGTTCCTCCAATCTGGATTTCTTAGATCAGCTAAGAAATTGTGCATCTATTTCTATCTTACTGAGGTTTCTTTTTGTTTCTCCTCTCTTGGGTTTGCTGTTTGTGATATCCCCTGTTTTCTTTGTTGGTTCTTTAGTTTACTATCTTGGAAGAGTACAAGGGAAGTAAATTATTTTAGATGGCATGAATGAAAATGGCATTTCTGCTCTTATGCATGATAGTTTGTGTGTAGAATTCTAACTTAGAAATCATTTTTCTTAAGAATTTTGAAGGCATTGCTGCTCCATTGTCACCTGGCTTTTAGTCTTGCTGTTTTGAAATTCAAAGTCATAATTCTTGATCATTTACATGTGGCACTTAAAAAAACGCTACACAATGTATCTTTATTCTCGAAGCTACTCTGGTTTCAGAATTCTGAAATTTTATATTATTGGAACTTTTTTTTATCTCTTGTGTTGTGCATTCACTGGTGGACCTTCAGTACCAGGGAATATTCTTATTTTTATTCTGTTTTCTCTTTCTGGATCTCCTATTATGTTGTGTGTTGGACTGATTCTTCTAATAACCTTTTGTACTATTTTCCATCTTTGTCTCATTGCTCTTTCTAAGGAAAGCTAAAGAAACTTTATCTTTCAACTCTTGTATTGAGTTTCTAAATTTCTGTTTTTTAGTTTTCATGAGCTCCTTTGTTCTCTGTTCCTGTTTTTATAGCATCTTGTTCTTGTTTTATGGATTGTAATATATTTTCTCTGGATGCTTCCTTCTCTGTGTAGTCATATTTGCTCTTACATTTTTCTTTCCTCTGTTTCGGTCTCAATGTAAGAGGCTTTCCTCAAAAAAGAAGGTAATCATTAAGGTTGGGGTGGGGTGGGACAGGCAGTTGAAGAACTTTTTAAAAAATAGTTGACTAGAACATTTGAGTGTTGTGGAAGGGGAAGCTTATTCATTTGGGATTTTAACGGAAGGTCTTCAGTGTGGGCATTTGTTATGAGAATCCCCAGTGACAGAATGGTTTTTTTTTTTTTTTCTGGGCTGGTCAGATACACCTCAGTGAAGGATGGGTGTTCTGGGAGTCAAATTGGGAGATGACTGCTAGGAAGGGGTCTCTACATTCACTATTCTACTGTGCATATGTCATATGTTTGATACTCGTAACTGTCTGTGATCCTTTCATCCAGCTTCTCAGTTTAACCCTTTCCAGAGAAGAAACTGTCATCTGCTGTAGTGAGGAGAGGATCTGAGAATTTAACTGCTTATCAGGTTTTGCTCTGTTCTTCCTGTTTTATCCAGATTAAGTGTTCTTTTTCAGATTCTGTGTTTGAGCTGGTTCTCAGCTTTCCCTCTGCTTAGATTTCGGTCCTCAGTGAAGTTGCTGCTCCTGAGTCTCCTTGTCTGTCCTTCAGAGTGTGTCTGTTTAAAAACCCTTTATCATAATTTTAGTGGGGATTCTGGAAGGATTGAGATCAGATGAGTATGTGCAATTTGCCATCTCAACTGTCTTTTTTAAATACATACTTTTATTGATTTCAAAGAGGACGGGAGAAGGGGAGAGAGAGAGAAACAATCAGTGATGAGCAAGAATCATTGACTGGCTGCCTCCTGCATGCCCACTACTGGGAATTGAACCCACAACCCGGGCACGTGCCCTGACCTGTAATTGAACTGTGACCTAGTTCATACATAGATCAATGCTCAACTACTGAGCCACACCCTTCAGGCACTTTCATTTTTTAAATTTTGAGGGGGAAAAAAAGGTAATTACCTCTTTATTATTTAATTTTGGATGCCTGCAAGCCTTTGGAGAAGGAAGGGAAGAGGGAGTTATTTAAAGCAAAAGTTAGCAAACTCTCTGTAAAGGACCCGATGTTAAATATTTTAGGCATTTTGGGCCATGTGATCTTTTGTAACTACTCAGCTCTGCTGTTACAGTGTGAAAGCAGCCAAAGACAATACATAAATGAGTTAACTGGCTGTATTCCAATAAAACTTTATTTACAAAAATAGGAGTGGGCTGGATGTGGCCATGTCACATAGTTTGTGGACCCCTGTTTTACCTTTAAGATTTAGATGTTTAATGAATGGTTGAATGAAATGACACTGAAGGAAGAGCAAGTTTATACATCAGAGATATTCCAGAAATGATTATTTTTGTTTTTGATGAGAAGGCTGATTTTTTTTTTGTCCCTTAACACATTGTTTGCGGGTAGTTTTTATCGTGCGCTAACAGGTGGCGCGGGCCATTTTTGCTAATTTTTTGCGCAAATGGCAACGTTCAGTAAAATTACGATAACTTCAGTTTACGTATTTATACATTACCCGCATTCTACCGCTAGTCTATAAAAAACGTATTAATACGTGTCCCGCGCTCTACTATCAGTCAGCGTAAAACGTATAAATACATTTCCCGCATACAATGTGTTAATTGAAGGGAATATAAATTTTGCTAGCAGAATACAGTTGACTTTTTCTGTACTTGTCCCCATATGAAAATTAGACAGTATTTGTCCAAATATGAAAATTTTTCAAATGCTTTTCTAAACATGTAAAGCAACTAAATCACTAAACCAAATAAATAGTAAAATGTAAAATCTCTATATATTGACTTAGATATTCTTATTTCCCTTTTTAATGCTAATTATAATCTCATCTTCAGAAACTAGACTTTTAAGATGAAATGGGAAGAATGTTATTTTACTATTTTTTACCTTCTCTTCCAATGCTACCGTCCTCCTGGCTTTGCTCTAAGCATAAAGTAGTCTCAGGCTTTTTAAATTTTTACTGTTTTCCCATCTTCACTGTGAAGGAAAGAAAAAGGATGAAAGTCCACAAAGATATTGAGTACAGACTGTATGGTTATCCCACAGCCATCAGGGATCCAGAATTCTTCTGTTTTTCGAAACTCCTTCATCCTTAGCAGGTTGCCTCATGGTCCAGTGTGGCTGCCCAGGCTCTAGACATCACATCCATATTCTAGGGAGGAAGAAGTGTAAAAAAAGGGGGGGGGCCTGTTAGCTGTTTACCATCCTATAAAGGAAGGTTTCTCAAAGTTCTATATTACTTCATTTTCTCTCACTGCTAAAAATCTAGTTAATGTAGCCACAAGCTAGCTAAAAGGTAGGCTGGGAAATGTAGATTTTTCTAGCTTTGTGAATTGCCATCTCATATAAAATTAAGGTGCTTTTACTAAGAAAAATCAGTAAATATTGGGTAGGAAACGTACTTCCTGACATCATATTCTCTGAACCAAAACCTGTTAAACCATATTTTTAAAGGTTGAAGTATAAACTTTATATTTGACCACATGCTTTTAAATGAAATTTAAAAATATTTGTACTTGTTTACATATGAAGTTAGAAAGAAAACAGAATTCCCTTTTAGATTTTCTATTTCATATTTTTGAAAGAGGCATATTAACCTAGGAAATGAATTGAAGTTTTTCTACATATTTTATTTTTTTGGTAATTTGGTACATTTGAACCTTGGTGTGATACTATGATATTGTAGCAAAGAACAGTCTGAACTTGATCAAGATTTGGATGATGTTGAAGAAATAGAAGAAGAAGAAACTGGTGAAGAAACAAAAATCAAAGGTATTATTTTACATTTTTTCAGGCTCTAGTGATTACTGGCACATGTCTTCTAGAGCAGTGGTCGCCAACCTTTCGGACCTCGCGGACCACCAGTTGGCGACTGCTGTTCTAGAAGGTAGTTCTCTTTTTGATCCTTATCCACCAGCCCGTACCTCAGTTTAGTAACAGTTGTGTATGTGTGTTTGATGTTGGGGGAGGGAAGAAAGAAAGGAGGGCCAGAGGAAGATGGGGATGAAATGATGGTAAGGTAGGAAGGTGTGAGTATAGTGACCCCTCATAAGTCACCGTGTGTGTACCCTCTACTGCTAGAGTGACATGGCATAGTTGGGTCAAACAGCTTAGCTACCCATGAGTTTTGTCTGAATTTAGAAATGTTAGAGATGGTGGGAGTTGTTTTTGGTGGTGCTTCTAAACAAATACCATTAGTTTAAATTTACTTGAAAATATTTCATATTTAATATGTAGACAATATATAGTGTGTGTGCATGCCCTTTTTAATCCAACCAAAAAAGAGACATTAAAATTAATGATGGTAGTGTGGAATTATACTTCTTTAGGTTTTGTCCTATAGGTAGGAGCCAAGAATATTAAGGTAACAGATGAATCAACTTTTCATTTTTAAGCCAGAATGAGGTTAATTGTTAAGACTAGTGAACTTAGTTTTAGTTATCAACATTTTCTTAAAAGAGAACATACCATGTGTCCTTAGTGGCCAGTATTGATATTCTAAAGATATGGGTTACCACAACTATACATCTAATCAAATTAGTACTAGCAGTCATTTGAAAACATGATTTGAAAAATTAAATGGAAATTTTGGGTAGTGTCTGTTGAAGAAGATAGCAAACTAATTTTTGCATATATCTAGCTACATTTGGGTTAAGTGTAATTTCGTGACATGCTGATAACCAAATTTTGTTTGGTTTTAGTTACAACCTTTGACTTAACTGTTAACTTTCTCTATTAAGACATATGCAAGCACATTATACAAACAAACTATTTAGGTTACTCATTGTACCTTTTCCCAGGCTCCAAACTGTTACTGTATTTGCAGTTTTCTGATAATGTGTTGTCTGCCTTCAAAGAATTATCGAGTCATAGATAGGCATCTGGATGAAGCTTTGATCATCTCAAAATGCAAGACGGCTGAAACACAAGATAGTAGTAAGAGAAGGAATACTATTGATAGAAGTTGTGTAAATGGTCCTGAGACATGGCACATACTAGAGATCATTAGGAATCTGAACATTAGGTTTTCCTAGAGTGAATTTTCTTTAGCTTGCTGCTCATCTCTACTCATACCAGCTAGTCAGGAAACCTCATGATTGGATTGTCCTATTAAAATAGCATAATACGTTTTCATAAAATCCTTCTTTCGATGCCCCCTCCCCCTTTTTTTTAAGCGCGTCAGCTGACTGTTCAGATGATGCAAAATCCTCAGATTCTTGCAGCCCTCCAAGAAAGACTTGATGGTCTGGTAGAAACACCAACAGGATACATTGAAAGGTACAAGTTCTTTTTCATAGTTCTTATTTCTCTTTCTGTAATCAACATTGCAGGTGTATCTATTTTTAAGGCCATCTGGGACTTATGTACATAATAGTGGAAAGCTCATGTTGGTTAATATCTAGGTTTTGCTAAGTACCACCAACTTAGAGTTGGTCTTTTTAAAGTTTAATTTCATCTCCACAGGAAGTATACTGATCTTAATCATTTCTGAGATTTGTTTAGAGGTTTTATTAGAAATGCACAGAATTAGAAGAAATAACAGATTTCTTATGTAATTTTTGGCAATATAAATCATTAGTAATAGCCCAAATATTCTATTCTGCTTGCATTTTTTTATATGGCTTTATGATTTTAAGATCCATCCATATGCCGAAACCGGTTTGGCTCAGTGGATAGAGCGTCGGCCTGCGGACTGAAAGGTCCCAGGTTCGATTCTGGTCAAGGGCATGTACCTGGGTTGCGGGCACATCCCCAGTGGGAGATGTACAGGAGGCGGCTGATCGATGTTCTCTCTCATCGATGTTTCTGACTCTCTATCTCTCTCCCTTCCTCTCTGTGAAAAATCAATAAAATATATTTTTTTAAAAAAAGATCCATCCATATGTATCTGTAGTAGCTTCTAGCCTCTAAATGGTTCCCGGATCTCTGTGATGTTTGTCCACCATGTTTTTTGTTTGTTTTGTTTTTAAATATATTTTATTGATTTTTTACAGAGAGGAAGGGAGAGAGATAGAGAGTTAGAAACATCGATGAGAGAGAAACATCGATTAGCTGCCTCCTGCACATCTACTGGGGATGTGCCCGCAACCCAGGTACATGCCCTTGATCGGAATCGAACCTGGGACCTTTCAGTCTGCAGGCCGACGCTCTATCCACTGAGCCAAACCGGTTTCGGCCCACCATGTTTTTTATTATATGCGTTTTCTTTGATGGATAACTAGATTGACTCCAAGCTCCATCAACACAAAGTCCATTGTAATGGTCATTGTACATTTCCTCTTAAGGAACTATGTGAGAATTTTTTTGTGATATGTACTTATCAGTGGGATTGCTAGTTCTGGGCTTTGCAAGCCTTAGGTACTTCCAGCTTGCTTTCTAGGATGGCTGTATCCAATACAGTGAAGATTGCTTTATCTTTCTGTCCTTTCCAACAGTTGGCATCATTCAGCTTTATAGTTTTTTTACTTTTCAATTGAAGAGGTACAGGCTTATTTTATTTACATTTCCTGATTTCTGATGAGTTTTTCTCATAATTGTGAGGCTTTTAGGTTGCTCATTTGTATCCTTTTTCCTATTTGGGCTTACTATCTTTTCCTTGTTTTGCAGGATTTCCTATGTATTCTAGATATTAATCCCTTATCAGTCATTTTTACTTACTTTACACATAACACCCTCTAATGAACAAAAATTATTACTTTTTATGTTTATTCAGTTTTTACCTATGATTTGTTCTTTTGAAGTTAAGTCTTTTCTAGTTTCTTCTCTGTTTCCTATTGACTAGTTTTACCGTTAGGTCTTCAATTCCTCTAGGGTACATCTTTGTATTTAATGTGAATAGGCATTCACTTTTTTTTTTCTTTTTTAGTGTGCTAGCACATTTATTGCATATCACTTTTTTATAAACACATGTGTTTGTCTTTGAGCAGGACTCTGCTGTTTCATTGATCTTTTTTTCCCTCTTGTTTTGTCATTGTCACACTTAATTACCATGGCTTTATAGTATGTTTTAATATCTGGCAGAATGAGTTGCTTTCTTCTGCCACCCCTCACCTCACACAAGCTCCCTGCTCCCATTCCCATCATGGTTTGACCTATCTGTACACCTTTATTGTACATATATGATTGATAGTAAGTTTATCAGGGTTCTTTCAAAAAACAAACTGAACTAAAATTTTGTTTTGCTTCGTTAATCCTCACCTAAGGATATTTTTCCATTGATTTTTAGAGAGTGGAAGGAGGGGGAGAGGGAGAGATAGAGAAACATTGATATGAGAAGGACACATTGATTGGCTGCCTCCCACTTGCACCCGACCATGGCCAGGGATCGAGCCTGCAACCGAGGTACATGCCCTTGACCAAAATAAACCTGAGACCCCTCAGTCTGCAGGCTGATGTTCTATCCACTGAGCAAAACCAGCCAGGCCCAAACTAAAATTTTTGATAGCTATTGCATTGAATAAATAAGTATATTAGCATGGTAGGGAGTTATGTCATTTTTCATATTAAATTGTTTCATCCATATCCTTATATCTATTCAGATCAGACTCTGTGTCTTTATTACAGCTTTTCTATATAGTCTGTTCTTGGTCAATTCCTATATACCTTAGTTGTGTTGCTGTTGTGAATAGTATCTTAATTTTCTAATGTATTTTATGACTGGCTGTTCTTGATGTAGAGAAGGAGGGCTCTTGGTTTTTTTTAAGTTGATTTTATATTGGAAATCTTGATACACTTACTATGGTAATTCTATATTTTCTCCAATGGGTGAAAGATCTTACCTGCAAATACTGGCAGTTTTACCTGTAATCTTCCACGTTACACTATACCACATGTTTGTTTTTCTTTCTTTATAATACTGGCCAATATTATGGTGAGCATCAGTGTTAAAAATGGGCATCTTTGTCTTATTTCTAACCTTAACCAGGAATGAATAGAAAATCTCCATTTAATTTGTGTCTATGATTTTTATGACCATTTTTTTCTGTAAGTTTAGATGGTCTTTTGACTTTTTATTTGAATCATTAAGTTCATATTTATATTTTTTGAAATACATAGTTTGAATAACAAACTAACCTTGCATTCCTGGAATAAGCTTAATCATGATGTATTGTTACATCATTGAGTTAGGTAGTTAATACTTTTATTCAGGATCTTTATTCATTAGTGAAATGAATATATGCATGTATGTATGTACAGTAAAAAAACTTTCAAGGGTGGTTATTCTATCCCTTGGTTTTAGAGCCTAATGAAATGAACATGACTACTTTTGCTTTTTTTTCTGTTTCCTGTAGTGACTTGTATAAGGTAGAAATTAACTGTTTCTTGAACCGTTGGTAAAACTCTTAAAAAATTGACTTGGATCTTTGGGATTTGGGAAGTAGAGGTTCTGGGGAATTTTTTCTGATTTTTTTAATCTAATTGATCTCTTCAAGTTCTCATGCCAACTTCAAAGTTTATATTCTTCTAAAAAGTGGATGCATTTTACCAAGTTTAAAATTGATTAGTATATATTTCATGATATTTTTTAAAATCTGTGATTATTTTCCCTTTGTATTTTGCATCTTCAGTTTTGCTAGTTGCCTCACTCTTATTTGGTTTTTAGAACCAACTTTTGATTTTTTTATTTCCGTATGTATATTTGTTCATTGCTGCTCTTTCTGTGGCTTTAATGTTATTATTTCCTTCTTATTTCTAAGTTTCTAATTTCTGTTTACAATTTTTTAATTGAATGCTTAGTTCGTTTAATTTTTTAAAGAGATTAATTTCTCTCTTTGACCTTAATATTCTGTTTTTGTAAATGTTCTGTGAATGTTAAACATGAAGATCTATATGCTTAAATTAATAGCCCAAGCTTACTCATTGTGTTGTTTGGGTTCTTCTTACTTCTCATTATTGTCTGCTTGATCTAACCATGTCTGGGAAGGATGTGTTAAAAATCTTAATTTTTCTGTTCTCACTAAATCCATCAGTTGTGGATTGTGTTGTAATTCTGTTTGTCTGAGATGAAGATAGCTTTCTTTTGGGTTCTATTTACCTGGCATGTCTTTTTCCATCCTTGTATCTTACTCTAATGTGAATATTTGCTTCTTTATTAGTAATTTCAACTCTTTACATTTCTTAAAAGTGATAATATTTTTGGACTCAATTGCTACCATATTTTCCTTATTTTTAGATTTATTGTTTGGTTTGTCTTCTGTTTTTCATTGAATAGAACAAGTTGACTTCTGGTTTCAAAGTTAAGTGCATTCTTTTTTTTGTTCTTATAGGAGAGTGGCTCATAACCCAATACCTAATTTTATTTATTCCTATTGATTTTTTAAATTCACCAATATCTATATTGCTTATAAATAACTTCTCTAGTCCTCTATTTCTTTCCTTTAAGGCAACAGTAAAATTTCTCAAGGTATTTGACCACCCTTACCTTATCTATAGCCTCTTGAGGATTTTTTTTAAACTTACAAATTATTTTTTACAGTTCTCAATTATCTTAAAATTTCACTTTATTCTTGTGTATATACAGTATTTTCTTTTGAAGCCTTATGTCAGTGTGATTTCTTTTGTAGGTTATTTGCTTTCTTTATTAAACTCTTAGAATTTTCTTTTGTCTTTGATATTCCTAAACCTCAATAACATGTCTGGGGTTAGGGTAAAGATTTTCATATTGCTTTTTAACTTTGAGAAATTCTCTCTTTTTTTAGATATTCACCTCCCTTTGTTTTTTAACTATTGCTAATGTTGTCATTCATATCTCAGAGCTTTTCTATCTCTCCTATCTGGAGAGCTTTTCAACCTCAGACTTCCTTCAGTTGAACCTGTCTTGTTTATCCTATTTGTTGGTCATTTAGTTATTGCATTTATCATAATAATCCTGTTTCAGATTTCTTGGTCTTGTCTCATACTGCTACTATCTTCCCTCTTCTCTAAGTATATATATTCTATTGAAAGTCTTAGTCTAATATTTCTGCTTCGGGTGATAAGTATTTCATTCATGTGTCTAGGTATTTTGGCCTTAGAGCTTGGGGATTATGATAATTATTGAGGGAGGAATGAAGATCAGACTCTGGTTTGTGACAATCCTATGGAGTTTAAGGAGAAGGGGAGGGGATGAGCCTAAGGAGAGTTTCAGTCACTTCAGATTTAAAGTTCGCCGACAATTCTGGGCAATATTTTGGCTGCTTTGGGAGGAGGCAGTCTCCTGGTTGTAATCCATTGTATCTGGATTGAAGGAGGTGGAGCCAGTGCTTGTGGGTTTTGAGTCAGTCCAGTTTTCATCAAATTCTTGTTATTCTAGAAACACTGGCACTGGGCTCTGAAGGGTGAAGGGGACAGCAGTGAGTGTTGAAAGGCAAGCGCAGAACTTAAAGGCTACCCATTCTGGTCATCCTAGGATGTTTTTCCCAGGTGGTATGTCAACCCCATACCAGTTAAACACAGACTTCAATCTCGGAAATTGCTTGTATATGTGTGCATGTATGGTATATGTACATGCACACGTGCACACTGGAGTGGGAGTAGGGGTCAGCAGCCCAGTGACAGAACATTAAGCTTTTTGTTTGTAAGAAATAAAGTTGATAATGTTTTGGTATTTGCTTTTTTAATTGATTATCTTTTTTAAAAATATATTTTTATTGATTTCAGAGAGGAAGAGAGAGGGAAAGGGAGATAGAAACATCAATGATAAGATAGCATCATTGATCATTGGCTTCCTGCACTCCCCCAACTGGGAATCGAGCCCGCAACCTGGGCATGTGCCCTTGTCTGGAATTGAATCCAGGACTCTTCAGTCCGAGGGCCAGCGCTCTATCCACTGAGCTAACCGGCCAGGGCTTTACTTAATTATCTTAACTAAAGTGATTAAGTAAGATATTACTTGATTTACAACAATCTGTGTATGGCAGGAAATTCTAATCTGGATTCTGGATCTGTTGCACAGATTTACTGAAGTTAGGTAAATTTTGAATGTTAGCATATTTTGGGGAGGTAGAGAGAGGGGTTCATACATGTAAGCATTCTTTGAGGGGTGCATTCTTTGAGGGGCACACAGACTAGGTATGTATAACCTTTTAAAAATCTATGTGCCATAGTAAATTGTATAATATATGAATTATATCTCAATAAAGTTGTTAGTTAAAAAAAGCACGTCTTCTCGTCATAAAATATTATAGTCTTATTTAATATAATTTCAAATTCCAAATTAAATAGAGACTACAATAGAAAATAATGGTGTAGGGTACTGTCCTATTTCCCAGTATACATATGCGCCCTTCCTTTCCCCAAATACTAACATACAGGTGAGAAATTATTTTGTCTGTTGTTTGAAGAAAGTTCAGTTATCATTTAGTATTATCATTCCACTAGAGGCCCATTGCACGAAGATTCGCACAATAGACCTTCCTTCCCCTGGCTGCTGGCACCGGTTTTCCTCTGCCACCCGGGACCCAGGCCTTTGGTCCGGCCGCAGCGAGGCTTGGCCTCTCTGCTCCAGCTGCCATCTTTGTTGGGTTAATTTGCATTAATTTGCAATCAGTAATTTGCAATCATCCTGATTGCCTGGTGGGTGTAGCGGAGTGATGACCAATTTACATATCTCTCTTTTATTAGTGTAGGTAGCTTTATATATATATATTCCTCACCTGAGGATATTTTTCCATTGATTATTTTGGAGGGGGCGGGGAGACAGAAAAATCAATGAGACATAAACACATCGATTGGTTGCCTCCTGCACGAGCCCCAACCAGGGCCTGGACCAGGGAGGAGCCTGCAACCAAGGTACATGCCCTTGACCAGAATCAAACCTGGGACTCTTCAGTCTGCAGGCCGATGCTCTATCCACTGAGCCAAACTGACTAGGGCCATGACTTTTTTAACTTTAGAAGATAAGACTGTAGGTTACAGCTGAAATGCCAGTGCATAAGAACAAAGTTGAACTTGAGTACAATGAAAGGTTTGGGTTGATAATATGATTTACATTTTCCTATCAGTTTAATGTATCCGGCTAAATATCTACTTTTGAACTTTTATAGTATAGAGGCCCATGCATTTATACCTCTTAAAGATTAATTATTTTGAGTTAGTATATCTTCGCTTCAAGTAGGAAACCTATTATGCTTCAATTTCAGAATGATAAAAGAAGTGTAACTTGTGTCTTACTGGCATGCTATGTAATTGATGCTTTCTAATCTTTCAGCTTGCCTAAGGTAGTTAAAAGACGAGTGAATGCTCTCAAAAACCTTCAAGTTAAATGTGCACAGATAGAAGCCAAGTTCTATGAGGAAGTTCATGATCTTGAAAGAAAGTATGCTGTTCTCTATCAGCCTTTATTTGATAAGGTAATGCTTTCTATTACTTTTGTTTTAGATATGTAAAATTTGAGAAGGTAGTAAAGCTCCAGAAGCAAAACTTTTTTAAAGATTTCTTATTGAGTTTTAGAGAGGAAAGGAGAGAGAGAGAAAGAGAAACATCAATGTAAGAGCAAAACATCAATTGGGTGCCTTCTTCACACCCTCTTGGGATCGAGCCCACAACTTGGGCATGTGCCCTGACGGGGAATCAGGACAATGCCCAACCCACTGAGACATTGGCCAGGGCCATAAATAAACTTTCTTTAGACCTCTCAGCAAAAATGGTTACTTGATGTATTTGGGAAAACTATCAATAATAGCAATTCAAATTATGGTATGCATTAATTAAGATCTATGGGTTCCTAATGAGAAACAGATAGTTTTTAGCTTGGATATCATGTAAGCTTTTTTTTTCTTCAATCATTTTAGCGATTTGAGATCATTAATGCAATTTATGAACCTACGGAAGAAGAATGTGAATGGAAACCAGATGAGGAAGATGACATTTCGGTTGGTACCAACTTTAATTTGGGGTGTTTTATACTTTGGGAATGAAAGCATTTCCTTCGAACTTCATGATGACATACAAAGGATTGTTCCCTTTTTTTCAAGTGAGGAAATGGAGGCTTCTAGGTGACTTGCCCACAACTAATGGCAGAGCTGAGACACAAATCCAGTGCTCTGTTAAATGACCCTGTTTCTCCAGTATTGCTACTTTAATGTTGGTTGCTTAAGAGAATATAATCTATATTATAAAAACCCAGTGGCCCTAATGCCATATGACCAAAGACTGGTCACCAGGAGGCTGTGTGCATGCCGAGGCATGTGCAGGTGGGTGGGGCTGCCTGCGCAGCGAGGTGCCCGTGGTTGGCCAGAGATTTGACTCTGAGTCTCGCAGCGCTCCGGGACTCGGCGGGGCCTGGGGTCCCGGGTCTCATGCAATTTCACACGCTGGGTCACTAGCATTTTTATAAGAAAACATCAAGGAATAAAGCATTGGACAAGGTTTATATTTCTTTTGCTTTTCCTGTTTACTATTCTTAAAAGTAATTATTTTTCATGACTTTAAAAAATTATTTTCCTAAAACTTTTTTCTACACCATATGGCCCTGTAAACTGTGACCTACTAAACTGTTCTCTTCAGGAGCAGTATGGTTGTAGCAATCTTACATAATAAAAGGCTAATATGCAAATAGACCAAAGGGCGCTATGACGTGTACTGACCACCAAAGGGCAGGCGTTTAACACAGGAGCTGCCCCCTGGTGGTCAGTGCGCTCCCACAGAGAAAGTGCTGCTCAGCCAGAAGCTGGGCTCACAGCTGGTGAGCACAGTGGCGGTGGCAGGAGCCTCTCCTGATGACTCCACAGCAGCACTAAGGATGTTCAACTGACGGCTCCTGGACTGTGAGAGGGCATAAGCCTGGCTGAGGGAACACACACACACACACACACACACACACACACACACACACCCCAGTGCACAAATTTTGTGCACCGGACCTCTAGTATTTATAAAAGTAAGGTTTGGTATGGGTAACAGCAGTATTTACACAATTGGACTAGAACTGTTTGGGCTGAAAGTTATAATTAGTGATTGAGGGTTTGTTGGTTTCTATATTTACATTTAATTTAAGGGGATGTATAAGATTTTATCAAGAGGTTTAATTTAGGTTTTCAGTAATGTATGCTGTTATTTATCAAGGAGGAGCTGAAAGAAAAGGTCAAAATTGAAGATGAGAAAAAGGATGAAGAAAAACAAGACCCCAAGGGAATTCCTGAATTTTGGTTGACTGTTTTTAAGAATGTTGACTTGCTCAGTGATATGGTTCAGGTAATATTACTCATAAAAATATCAGGTTACCTCAGAGAGTGTAAACCTTTGAAATTTAAATGTTTGATGACTAGTCTCTCCATAGTTGACATTTGTAGAATGGTTGCTTTCTTTTGAAACAGCTATTGTCTGTAGAGGGAAAATTGCAGCTTTTTTTTAATGTAACCTAATAAATTATGATTCATTTTTAAAAAATAGATAATGAAATAGTCCCTTTAATAATTGGTCATTATTGTCTGGTGCTTTCTCAGACAATAGCTGTGTGCCTTCTGTCTCAGATGCTTAGTGTGGAGGTAGGATGTGAGAGACTTAACCATTTCAATTGTCTTACCCAAAAGACCTTTTCAGTCTGAAACAGCTATTCCAAAGTACATTTGTATTTTATAAGAATGCTGTAAAAATATTTTTATTGATTTTAGAGAGGAAGGGAGAAGGGGAAGCAGAGACATCAATGATGAGACAGAATCATTGATCGGCTGCTTCCCGCATGCCACACTACGGATAGAGCCTGCAATCCTGACCGGGAATTGAACTTTGACCTCTTGGTTCATAGGTTGATGCTGAACCAGTGAGCCACACCAGCTAGGCTATCTTTAACTCTTTTACAGTTGTCACTTTTTCTGGGAAACATTGTCTTATAATCAGAAGCATTTCTTGAGCCACTGCCATCTGCACTGTAGTACTTGTTTCCTGATATTTTTATTGTTGGAAGTTAGTATCACGAAAAACAAATGATCTCAAAACAATGACTCCTTAATAGAAATTCTACTTTAACCAAGTAGGAAAACATCAAGCAGAAAGAAGGAAAGGAACAAGAGTAGCTAAGAGCAGCAGTTATAATCAATCAGGAAACATTTGAAAGCAAACATGCCTATTTTAGACTTGGTTTTGTGCTCTTCAGCCCATTCAGTCTGGATAATGAAGTAGTCATTGCTACATAAAACTTAACTTGAAAATGTCAGTCATTTCAGTGTTCATTGTCCAGTGGGAGAACACTCGTCCTAAAATGCCACATTACTTACTCATTTTTTTTTCTTTTAATTTGAAGGAACATGATGAACCTATTCTGAAGCACTTGAAAGATATTAAAGTGAAGTTCTCAGATGCTGGCCAGCCTATGGTAAAAACTTGGAAATACTTTCAATTTTTGTAACATATGTTTACAGATAAATAAGTGGGACTTTTTAAAAAGAGGTGTGACATTTAAGGGTTAGAGATGGGGATGAGATATTAAAAGTGATACTTGGTATACTTAATTATTGGTAGGAAATAAATGTTTAGATGTTGATAATGTGATGCAACATTTCCTCCCTCTTAACTATTTTCAAAATACAGTTTATCATTGTTCCTGGATTTAAAATGTATTAAAAAAATAATACCAAGGAAACATGAGTAATAAAGTACTTATTTTGTATTAAAAGGCATGTGTCTGGGACTTACATAAAATAGAAGATACTAGAGGGGGGCCCCTAATTTCCCGTTATGAGAGCTCAACCAACAGCTTTTCCCCAAAACCATCAGTAGTATAATGTAAAGTATGGGCAAAGCTACTAAAGGTTATAGATTCTTATATTGGCATGTAGTAAGGTTGGGCCTTTTCTCTGTCCAGCTTACATTCTAGTCAAAGATTTAAAATTTCTCTTTGTGGGATGGAGAGAGAAATGAGGACTTGGTCAGTTTATTCAGATGTGCCCAACCTATTTCATAAACATGTTACTAAATAGTATTGTATGCTGAACTAAGATTTGTGCATCATTTTGCTTTTAACATAAAGAAGATTTATCTGTTTCCCAGAGTGGGAAAAACCCTGTCACTTAGAATTTTATGTTTATAAAAACTAAAGATAAAGCTTTACTTATTAAAGAATTGAAATTGATTATGTAGGAATTTAATTCGTTTTTTAACTTTTTTTTTAAAGAGTTTTGTTTTAGAATTTCACTTTGAACCCAATGAATATTTCACAAATGAAGTGTTGACAAAGACATACAGAATGAGGTCAGAACCAGATGATTCTGATCCCTTTTCTTTTGATGGACCAGAAATTATGGGTTGTACAGGGTGAGTTTAATTTTATTATATTAACAGAATGTTACATCTGTGTTTGTAGTACTTATGATTTGTGATATTGGTATTTCCATGTCTGTGTTAGATACATACATAAATAGTTTATCTCCAAATATTTGAGTAAAATGTTATCTGAGAAATTAGCCATTTTCCTAGAATTCTTCTTGGAAAATGGCTAATATTATAGACATTTCTCCAAAGGAAGTGCACATTTAAATTTATTATATTGTGAGTTTATGGTGATTGTAAATATGTTTATGAAAAAATTTGGTTAGAAATAAAATTTTTCTCTTTACACTGCTATAGAAAGCACTTGGACCAATTTTGCCCTCTAAAATTTAAAATTAAATATACTATTTATTTGGGAAAGTCTTAGCAGTTGAAAGTAATGTGTTAATTGTGATAGGAGATTTTTCTTTTTCTCTTTGTTTGGTAGGTGCCAGATAGATTGGAAAAAAGGGAAGAATGTCACTTTGAAAACCATTAAAAAGAAACAGAAACACAAGGGACGTGGGACAGTTCGTACTGTGACCAAAACAGTTTCTAATGACTCGTTCTTTAATTTTTTTGCCCCTCCTGAAGGTAAATAGTGTTTGAGTTTGCATATTGGTGGTGGTTTTATTATAAGCTTTGTTTAATTTTTTTTATTCATTTGAATTTCTCTTCTCAATTTTGCAGTTCCTGAGAGTGGAGATCTGGTAAGCTGCATTGTTATTTAATTGTTGAATTGTTTACTGTGTATGAAATTAAAGGACTAGTTCTCAAAAGTGGGGAGTTGGGGTAGTTGCCACTAGGTTTGTAGTGCATGGGGAAGCTCTCGATGCATCTGAACAGTTCCATTCAAAATGCTCATAGTGCTTTCACTGAAAAATGCTGAAATGCTCAAGAGTTTCTTTTCTTTTGAAACTTGGCAAATACTTTGAGGAATTCAAAGTTTTCAAGACCATAGTTTTCTTCCTTATTGAAACTAGAATATATTTGTGAAAGCCTGAGTGAGATTCTATTATTCCACTTGGTGTTTTTAGTAACTAATATTTTTAAAGGAAAACAGCAGTTATGTAATTAAGTTGCTTTATTTATATTTTACTTTTAAGCCATAAAAAATAAACAATAACTAGTTCACTAATTTTTACTCCCCAAAATTTCTGAGTATATACACAGTTCTGCTAACTTTCTTTTTGTAAAAAACTGTAAATGACTGGTGGGTCATACCACATTTAAGTAAGTTTTCAAATGACAGAAAGTTAAAAGTGAAGTTGAGAGTTACTTCATGATTTAAACCCAAGAGTGTTACATGTGCTGAATTAAGTAACAAAGTTAAATTTTGTGCTTTTGTTTTTCTTAAATAGGATGATGACGCTGAAGCTATCCTTGCTGCAGACTTTGAAATTGGTCACTTTTTACGTGAGCGTATAATCCCAAGATCAGTGTTGTACTTTACTGGAGAAGCCATTGAAGATGATGATGATGATGTGAGTGGATCTGAATCCTGCAATAAAATCATTTAGTGAGTGTATGATAGTCAGAATTGGTGAGAAGTTTAATGAATAGATGTAATTTTTAGAAAGCACAGCAGAATAATGCTATTAGGATAATTCCTGATGTCCTGTAGATAAATTTTTTGAGTTGTTTTAAATAGATTCTCTTTGGGTTCATTTATTATAGTTTTTATTTTTCTGCTAATAGGAAGACTGCTCTGAATTAGTGAAACTTCACAATGTTTGGTTAGTAATGTAGATCTATTATGCTCTTGTCTTTCACCAAATAAAACATGCCAAGAACTTATTTTAGTGCTTAAGATAACAATAGTAGGAAGCATAGAATTTTTATTCCAAGGAATATTAATTAAAGATTTATGTAAAATTAGGTTGTCCTCAAAGGTTTGGGTGTCTTTTATTGCTAAATGGCAATAATTCAGATAGACATTTTGTGTCTTGTGTCCCACACCTAAGTATAAGAAAGTAATATTTACAATAATAGCTGTTACATCACATTTATTTATTCACTTTAGGGAAAATATTTTTCTTTTTTTAGATACTAGTGGATACAATGATGGATGTAAATAATGCTGTTCTCAAAGTTTATTCATCAAACTTGACCCCTTTTTCCTTTTTTTAGTATGATGAAGAAGGTGAAGAAGCGGATGAGGTAATGTTTACCAAATGAGCAAATAATACTGTTTAAAACATTGAGAAGCATATTGAATGACTTATGTATTCCTTTGCTATAATCATTATTCTGTGATAATGCATAAAAAACATTTTTGGAAAAATTATGATTTTAGAATCTACAGCCAAACAATGTATGTATAAGGTTTCAATAAATAAATTGTAAAACTCAGAACATTTTTTTTATTTCAAATAATTCTGTTCTGCTGCAGGGTTATCAGCTCTTTGAAGAAGTCAAAAGCTGCAGTAAACTTTTCCCACGTTGGCTGCAGTAAATCTTTTCAATAAAAGCTGTCTGGATGTCTCAAGTTGTGTTGGGAAATTTTTCATAATAGAAGCTTTCATATTAAATTGCATTGTCACCAAACTCTGTAACATGAAATTCTATTGACCTATAGAGTAACTTGTTTTAAATTCTTCCTACATTATGAGCCATTTCTTGCCTACTATGTACCTACTTCATGGATGCATTTTGAACTTTAATATAGGAAGGGGAAGAAGAAGATGAGGAAAATGATCCAGACTATGACTCAAAGGTGAGTATAATTAGTGCTGTTTTCTATTAAATTTAAGGCAGGTTAAATAAAAGTTAATATCTCAATATAAAGTTTAATTTTATCCTTTAAAGTCTAGGCCATTAAATATATATATATAAAATCCTCACTGGCATTTCAACAATACACATAATTTCAGTGCATCTCTTCTAAGAAACTTACTTTAGGTTCTGACCTTATATTTTTAAATTCCAGGCTAAGTAAGCCCTAGAATTCTTTTTATTTTCACTTGTATTGATTTCAGAAAGGAAGGGAGAGGGAGAGAGAGAGAAACATCAATGATGAGAGAGTCATTGATCGGCAGCTTCCAGCACCATCTACTGGGGATTGAGCTCCCAACCTAGGCATGTGCCCTGATCTGAAATCCAACTGTGACTTCCTGGTATATAGGTCAGTGCTCTACCATTGAGCCACACTGGCTGGGCTAGGATTCTATTTTAATGGCATGCTATCTTGTACAATTTTTTGGAAACATTTTAAATCACAGCTTGTGGTTTTAGGCTGTTTCCCCTCCAAAGGAAAGCTTATAAACAAAGGTCAGCTTTTAAACCATCTGAATGTAGGAGTACTTGAGAATTAGGGGAGCAGTACTGCTTGTTAGATTCTACCAACCACCTCCCTTCTCCATCTGAGTCCCAGAAATTTGTCATATCAGGGTTAGTAAAGGCCTTTATTTTCTTAAAAAATACATGGTACATTTTATCAGGATTCATTTGAAACTGGTTTCTCTTTAATTCACTCATTTGATAAATGCTACAAAATATCCAGAAGATACTTTAATGTACTGGGCAGGTAAGAGGAGATAGTTAAAAATCAAATTAAATATTCCAACACATATGACTTACTCCTAACAGCTAAATTCTGAATGGAATTAGTATTTTTTTGAGTAACTAATCTATAAAACGGCAAAAATAATGGCTACTACAACTAACAAATTGCTTGGTTATTTAATTTTTCAAGATTATGGCTCTGTCTCATTTTATGGAGTTCATTCAATAGTATAAAACTTGGATTTTATTTTAGCATTTTCATAATCTGCTAATGTTTGAATAATAATTTGCTATCATTGCTAATACCCCTTTTTTGATTTGCCAAATTTTTGACAGTGGTGAGATAGTGTGATAAGGTCATTAATTACTAATGAAATATTAACTGAAGCTGGTAGAAAAAAATAGATTGACTTGTTGTTTTCCTTTAACAGAAGGATCAAAACCCAGCAGAGTGCAAGCAGCAGTGAAGCAGGATGTATGGCCTTGAGGATAACCTGCACTGTAATAGCCTAAATACAACTATTACTTACAGACTTATGTTTTTGTATTTTCTTGGTAGACTCAATAATTTTTTTAAAGGGAAGGAATTGATATTTTAAAGACAATTTTGTTCTACCTAGCATTTTAAATTTAGTTTTTCTGCCAGATATCTTGAATGCAGAAATTCTCTCACACATTTTCATTCATTGCTACATAGTTTGGTTCTTCTGGGGTATTTTTATCATGTAACTGTTAGATAGCGCTATGAAAATAAACAAACTGTTAAATGAAACAGATTTTTTTGTTATCCTAATTTTTTTCCTGAAGAACCAAAGTATTTTTTCAGCTGGTAGTTAAGTGTTAGTTTTGTCTTTCATTACTTTGTTATAGAGATGCAGTGCCTATACTGAAACAATTCATTTTAAAAACAAACTGGTCAAGACAATCTATGGTTAAGAATTTCCAGTAAGACCACATCTATTAACTTTGTTTAATGGATTTTTAATATTTTAGGTGACATAGTTAACTATAAAGAACCCTAACTCAATTGTATGGTTATTGGTTAGTTACCATAGGGAGACAAATGAAATCTAGTATTTTCAGACATTAAGCTTTATTATTTTAACTGTACTTTTAAATTTAACCTCCATTAACTAAACATCTCTTCTTTGTGGTAGGGTCTACCTTCTGCTTCCCTGGAAAGGATGAATTTTCATCATTTGACAAGTTCATTTCAAGTTTTTTGTTGTTTCTTTGTTTGTTTGCTTGTTTGTAGCCTAAAATAAAAATGTCAAATATAATTTTAGTTCTCACAAGATAATGTCTTACAATTTTGTACTAATTCAGGCAGAAGTGAAGCCTTAGCTTGAATTAAGTATTGTGCCCAGTTTACTATTATATTGAAGAAAAGGGTGCCAACTCTGGACGAGGTGTACTACATTTAATAAGACAGTATAAAAAAAAGACAAATGGTGTAATTGTTTTTAAAGAGTAAGTTAAGTTTTATTTCCTTTGGTTAGAATGAGAGAAGGCCTCAAGCCTCTGATGAATTCCAATTCTTACTGTTTAAAGTATGAGTATGTTGTTTACCCATGCTTCTGTTTACTATGTATTAAAATGGGTAGTACTGTTTACTTAACTACCTCACATGTGTTAGACATATTAATTAAATTATATATGAAATAATTCTCAACCTATTGAAAGCTTAAAAATTTGGAACTTTTTGCACCACAAGTATGATATTCAGCCTTTTAGTCTACCACAGTTTGCTAAATAAACCAGAAAACAAAAGTCAAGTACTTTACTCTGGATCTGGTCAGGCAGTGCTCTTTTGGTGGCTCCTTATTTAATAAAAGTGGATGGATAACCAACTATTTCAAAGGTCCAAGGATCGTTTTTAGGTATTTTTGTTATGACCATAGAGAACATGGTTCTAAAATAGAAGTAAGACCGTTTCAAGGGGGTCAGGGGAATCCCACTAAATTTGGTACTGTAGAGCCACATTGAAAATACCTCAGGCTAATTACTGTTGATTTTTTCTGGTGAACTGAAAGTTTTGGCAGTGAGGGTGGACTAATTGGATTGTAATTGGAAAACAGCTTAGAGTTTCTGCTTATAACAGAATAACATTAGGTTCATTTTTAGAAATGATAGAGCTTCCATTTTGAAAATTTAGTATTATGGTCTTAGAATGTGAATGAATACATTTTGTTATTTGTATAGTACTATCTTTTTCACTCCTGAGATTTTAATTAACTGCTGGAAATCCTTAACCAATTGCATTAGTTTATGTGGGGGGTGGGGGGATATGCCATGAAAACACCTGATGTTTTTCCTCATCATTTTCAAATTGATTTTGGTTGCTTTGATTAGACCTTCTGTGCTAAGGTTTTTTTGTACCCATAGCTCATTTGAACACATCTGAACTTTAAAAATGTTAACCTAAAGATAGGTTCTCATTTTTATATGAACTTTAAGTAGCAAAACCACTATATTCTTTTTTTTCATTAGGAAATAGCTATTGCCAAAGTAAGGGAGAAGATACTATTTCATCTTGTTATATAAGGGCAATGTGATTTGCAGAGGAATTGCTCTCTATTAATAAAGTTGGGGTTTCAAGGGATATCAGTGTTCATCTCTGCCATCTTTCCAGTTCCAAAAGATTCTATTCCATTGAAGAAACTTGAGATATGTAATTGGAAGACCTTAATAAAATTTGCATTTAATTTTATAAAATGTACTGGTGATGTTTTGGGTGGTTTTTAAATAAAAATACTACCTTTTTATAAGAACAGAGTAGAGATGTTTAGAGTTGGCTATTCTGTGCTTAGACCATGATGGTCTGTAAATTTGATTACTTTTAAATTATGAGCAACCTCCCAAGCCCTGCTGAGTGGAGTTTCTATTGGAAGACTAAAAGGGACTTGCACAGTTCTACAGATTTACTGGAGTTAACTGTAGACATTTTGAGATGACTTCAAGCTTTTAGTTATTAGTTTTTTCTAGCCCAGGCATTGGCTGCCAAGTTCTCATTCCCCCCGCCGCTGC